CCCACCCCACGCTGTGTGTGTAACGCGCTTCCTTGTCTGGGAACTGCAGTTCACCCTTCTGGGTTTGGCTCAGTGTTGCAGCCACTCCCAACTCAAACACAGAATCAGTCTCTAAATAAATGGGTGTAGTATTTAAAGTGTATTTTTTGTTCCAGGCTGCAGAGTCTGACTTTTCATGTCTACTGAATGCATTAGCACTGGGACATGGGTTGTAAAAACATGCAGCCCCATCTATTGCATCTTTAGTCCTTCCAGCAGCAACGTTGCCTTGAAGCGTGTAGCCTGTGTGCTTGCTCTGGTGCAAGAGCTTTTGCTGATTCTCAGGCTGTTGGCTTATGCCTAAGTATTGTTACTACTAAAATAGCATTTTGTTCCTAATGATACCTTAGTAATAGATTTTAGTCATTTGAGGTTAACCTGGGAGGAAATATTTTCTTCCATCTAATGGAATACTGTATTTTATTAGTCCTTTCCCTGCCATATATTTAAATGTTCTATAATAAATGAATGTGATGTCCCCAAGGCAACAAGCCAGAAAACCTTTCAGACAGCTGCTGGAGCTCTCTGTTTACAAGGAACACAGCAAAAAACCTGTCTAATGGAGTGAGAGAGGGGAGTGGGGCTAATTTCCCAGGTGAGGATTTGCTGATGAGGCTCCTCTGCTGCTGGAGACACAAAGGTTAATGGCTTGTGGTGTCCTGGGCTGAGCCAGGCTGGATGTTTAAACATTTCTGACTGTAGAAACTGAGCCTTAGCCTATGCAGGGTGGCACCTGTTTGCATTTTGAGCATGACTGAGTTATTTGCAAGCCAAGCAAGTAATTGCAGTGATTCAGAGGGGCTGTTCTGCACTGAGATTTCTTAAAGTGAAAGTTGGTGTCGTGTATGTCCTCCTACAATGAGAAAACCAAAGCTTCTGCTTTTTTTCCTACAGCTGAGCGGGTTAAACAGGAGAACCTGACGATTGTCTGCATCCCTACATCTTTTCAGGTAAGTGTTTTCCTCCTTTGCTTTCTGCTTGTCCAAACACTTACTCAGAAGATCTTCCCTTTGGCTGCTGGAGGCAACCGTGCTGCTCTCCAGACTGGCTCACTGTGGTATGAGTTAACTGAAAGCACCAGTGAAAGCAGTTGTGATGCTCCCTGCAGATGGACCTCATGAAGGCAGGGGCTGTGTCACCCTGACCTGAGCTCCTAGGATGCTGTAGAGCTAGGATATGTTTTTTGAAGCAGCGTGGTGGTGCTGGTTATGATAATGTTGGTGTTTGACTTGATCTGGATTCTGCCTGCAGAAAAATGCTGTTTAGTGGTGAATCAGACTCATAATGCAAAACTCATTGGAGACACTGAGTCTCCTTTGATTCTGAGCCTGAAAACTGTAAAAATCAAGCTCTGAAAACTATTAAAAATCATGCTGCAAGCAATAATGGCAAGCTCATGTGTTTTCAAGGGGAACTTGACAAAATGCATCAACTGGCTTTTATAAGAAATTGCAGGAGAGAAATCAGCTTGATCTTCCCTTTGCTGTGCAGCTTTTGCAGGGGTTGGTTCATACCAAACTCACTCTGGAGAAGTTTGCAGGGAGAGGGAGGACGTGGCTTTGTGGTGAAATGCAGAGCTGCTGGAGAAGCTTCTGAGCTGCTTCCGTGCCTTCAGGAAACTGGCTTTGGTCTCTCTGCCTCTTATTTCTTGAGGTGGGAACCTGCTGCAGAGGAGCAGCTGTCACCTTGTCACCTTCGGGCAGGGAGAGGTGACATCACCAGTCTGCAGGGACCGGGTCCACACACCGGGTTTTGGAGACTGGGTGGCAGTTCCCAGTCTGGGATTTGAGCTTGTGTCCTTCTAATGGTCCTGGCATGGACTGTACTTTTGTCACAACTTTTTCACCATGAGGACAATCAAGCAGTGAGGCAGGCTGCCCAGAGGGGCTGTGCAGAATCCGTCCTTCAGTGTTTTCATGACCTGGGTGAGCAACCTGGTAGCTGACCCTGCTTTGAGCTGGAGGTTGGATAGAGACCAACCTGTATTATCCTAAAATCTTATGGAAGCTTGACATCCTTTTACCCTGCAGTTGCTCTTTAGGTCTGAGTGTGGGATGATGGGGCTCTCTCTTTTCCAAGCTATTCCAAACAACAGTGGCCAACTGGGTTATAATACAAACTGCTGCCAAGGGCAAAAAGTAAAAACTAGATTTTTTTTTTTTCTTTTTTAAGCTGTATCAGTGGTTCTGCTGCATATATAGACTGTGGTGAGAGTCTGTCTTTGATCTGTCTAAAATGATCCCCATCCTTAGATACCACATCCCATTTGAACCCAGGAAAACTCTGGGTTGAGTCATTAGGTCTTACGGAAAATAGTGATTTTGTGGTGGACATTGATTATCCTGCCTTGAAATGTTCATAGAATCATAGCATGGTCTGGGTGGGAAGATCCTCTAGTTCCAGCCCCCCTGCCATGAGCAGGGACACCTTCCACTAGACCAGGTTGCTCAAAGCCTCATCCAGCCTGGCCTTCAACACTTCCAGGGAGGAGCAGCCACAGCTTCTCTGGGCAACCTGGGCCAGTGTCTCACCACCCTCACAGGAAATAATTTCTTCCTAATATCTCATCTCAATCTCCCCTCTTCCAGTTTTAAGCCATCACCCCTTGTTCTGTCACTTTCTGTCCTTGGCCAAAGTCCCTCCCCACCCTTCCTGGAGCCCCTTCAGGTACTGGAAGGCCACTATAAGATCTCCCTGGAGCCTTCTCTTCTCCAGGCTGAACAGCCCCAGCTCTCTCAGCCTGTTCTCACAAGAGAGGTGCTCCAGCCTGTATTGGGATAGTTCATGTAACACTACAGAGTTTATTACCAGTAAAATAAAAAGGTCACTGTTACAGGGAGGAGATAAATCATACACCTGCATGAGCAAAAATCCCCGAGACATGGGGCTGCCTCATATCTTTTGCTGTCTCTTATACCTTAACCAATTCCAGGTGAAGCATTCCCAGGTCAGCAAAACAGCATTTTATTTTGGCTATGTACAGGTGTCAATGGCTGCCTGAGGTCATGGCAAGGAAGAATTGGTTTCAGTGAGCTTTTATTCTCCCTTCCTTGTTGTCAGGTTGGGTTATTCCATCACCATCATTAAAGCTAGAGCCGGGGTAAGTATCTGTCCCTTGGCTTGTGCATTGTTTCTTCTTTTTCACCCGGCTGTGTGCCAAGAGCACGGGGCAAGACCAGTCTTGGCGAGGGCTGTGCAGTTACTGCCACTTTCCCCCCAGTTGTGGGAGCTCTGCTTTTGAT